ATATGTCGACTTCCATCCTCCACAGCCAGGCAGACCTGCAAATAAAAAGAATGCTCAACTATTCTTCACATCTGAGAGGGCACTCTCAGCAGAGTCTCTCGAAATACTCAACTTCTTTTCCTTCCGATAATACCTTTGCAAACAAGCCACACCAGAGCAAGAGTATCTCATATCATCAGGGTTAAAAGCAAGAGTATCCCATATCATACTTTTTCCCCATCTTTTCCTTTGGCCTTGTTCTTACCTGCAAGACTAGGAGAAAAAGAACAATCAGTCAGCACTTGGAATCAAGCTTCCAGTCAGGAACTGACTGCCTGGATCCCCTTGCCTAATTACTTACCTGGCATTGCTCTCGAGTACTCATCTTCAACATCTTATGCTTCTAGAGAAGATACCACATCTGCTTGAGGAACAGATAGGGCAAGTGAGAAGGATACAAGGAAGCATGTGGAGATAAGTGTAATAGAACACGTGCCGATACATCCACTACTTTGTCAACAAACAAAAGTATCCCATATCATCAGGGTCGAACGTACTCTAGATTTGATAGACTTGTTTTGACCCTCAAATTCTTGAGTTGGCCTTATACTTTAGAGGAAACCAGAAAAAACTCTCCAGCCTAGTTCAAGAATAAGCCTGTGGAAAGTTAATTCTTTAAAAAGTAAAAGTATTACTTCTTTAAAAGCAAAAAGTATCTCATATCATACTTTCTCCATTTGCTTCTCCTTATCCTTGTTGCTGTTTACGACACACAAGGAGAAGGAGAACAATCAACCGGAAGCCGAAGTCGAACCTCCGATCCAGGTTGCTTGCTTGGAAGTTTGATTGCTTACCTTGTTTGTTACCTCATTCGGCAAATCTCCTAGCTCGGCGACTTGGGGGACTCCTACTATAGGGTTTGTATCGAACTTGACTAAGCTCGAAACTACAATTAAGCTTCAAGTGAAATTGATACATTACCTTGTGCATCTTCATCGGTTAAAGATACCACCTCTGGATGGAGGAAAAGTACTTCTAGAGAAAATGCCACATCTACACATGAGATAGATAAGGCAAGTGAAAATGATACCACACTTCGGTACTTAGAAGTTTTGTTTTTACTCAATAGCTTGGATCTTGCAAGTCCCAAACCGAGGAGCTTCCTTCACTCAGGAACTTAGGAGAGCACTGTTTGTATCATACTTGACCAATCCCAAAACTACTGAGCACCGGTCAACGTTATACCATCAAGGACCCAGAAAGTTTCCTTCCAACTTGGAGGCCAATCACAGCATGACACGTGTCGACATTAGAAGCCAATCATAGCGCGACACGTGTCGACATCAGAAGCCAATCATAACACAACACGTGTCAATGCCAGAATGAAACTAGAAACTCTCTTCTATAAATAGAGATCATTCTCTCACAATATTTCCTAATGTCATTTGTACTAAATCATTCACTAGTACTCACAAAAGGAGAGCTTGAACCTATGTACTTATGTAAACCCTTCATAATTAATGAGAACTCCTCTACTCCGTGAACGTAGCCAATCTGGGTGAGCCACGTACATATTGTGTTTGCTTCCCTGTCCCTATCCATTTACATACTGATCCACATTAGTGACTGGATCAATCTAATGAAGGTCACAAACTTAACACTTTTTGTTGTACCAAAGTCCTCGCTGATTTTGTGCATCAACACAGGTTATTTCGCCTGGTACCAATTTCACATAACACGATTAACATTCAATACATGACCAAAATTCTTATCCAATCCTGAACATCAAATGAGGTCATACAAACAGGGTCTTTGAAATTCCAAGAGGAATCAAGAGTGACCTCCATATATGGAAATAAAGGGAAAGGCTACCCCGATAACTAATTTGACCTACAAAAACAAAGCTTTTTCCCACTAGATGAGGTCAAATTAACTAAGTTGGCACTAGGTGGGGTCGGCTTAACTAAGTTGACCACAATAAAGAAAGTAACTAACACAGCTATTCCTTCGATGAAACATAAAAGTAGCAGCTCTATCACCCGACGAATCATAACCCAGAGTCTGTAGAGTACTGAGGGAAAATAGCCAATCTTACTATCTACTGCTTCTTCGATGTTGTTAGTTTCTAGTAAACCAAAGATCATCAAGGCAACCGCAGAATTATCCGCATCTTGTTTTCTTGGATTTTCATATCCCATTGTATATAGCACGCCATCGAAAGTTGCAATTTTAGCTGATGATACATATCTCTTCTTGTGCGCATGACCAAATTCTTTCTCAATTCTACAATAGCAAAGTAAATATGCATGGATTGTTTAAAAATATTATCAACAACATAATTCCAAAAACACAATTTTTTTAACTGAATATGTTCATACTCGTAAGTTGGTCTAGGGATCCTCTTCTTGTCACAAAGCACATTCAAATTCTTTATAGCTTCATTTTCAGTAACAACTTCAACTGACTCGGAGCTTATGCCGAATGTTTTGGACAACTCAAATAGAGCTTTTCTTGCAGCATGAAGCCTTGCAATTGCCATATGTTTATAAGAAGCCGAGGCAACTAAGATACCATCAACATACACACTAGCAGTACTTAAATTATGCCAATAATTTCTTCCCCCTTTGATGTTAACCAACTTTCCGTGCTTATGGCAAAGCTTACACAATACTGACACAGGGTGATCTGACAATCTTTCAAGAGTAATTATAGGCTCCAAAAGAGGCTTAAATTTCTACAAATGTACCACAGCAGACAATTAACACAAAAACCACTAGTTAGAGTTCAAACAAACTTCCAAACCCTAATTAAAAACTTAATGAAAGGTGTGAAGACCTGTATTTTAAAAATAATACTTATATGTTAATTAAGTGTTAAATATAGGGGTAAATATCAGTTTACTACCCTCATGTTTTGTGGTTTTCAACATTTAGTACATCAAGGTTTTTTGTCCCAAAGTCATACCTAAAGTGTAAATTTTGAGACAATCTCATACATACGTTAGTCAAACTGTTAAGTTTCTTGTTAAGTGATGATGTGGCGCCCATGTGGACAATGATTGGGTGCCACGTGTCATTAAAGGGTCCACATGAATATTAAAAAAATTATAAAAAAAAAATATGGGCGTTCACCTTCACTCCTCTCTCATTTTCTTTCCCTTCTTTTCCCTGCACCCAACCTCCTCGCACACCCACCCATTCCCCTCCTTCTTCATCCCTTCTTTCCTCTACACTCATAACCCTCCTCCTCCTCCTTACAACCCTCCTGTCCACAATCGTCATTTCACAACCCCAACCCCTCCAGTGAAAATCAGTCTAACGAGGAGGTTAAATGCATCCATAAAGTAAACGAAAAATTACCTTGCAATTTGATTCTCTAGTTGTGATTTGCCATATTCCGGAGATTGGGTATGTGAGATATATGAGTATTTGGTGACGTCACGTGTCGATCCTGGATGTATGTCAAGATCGGGGCGTGACACCTCCTCACCTCCACCGAGCAAGACACCGTCTACACAGTTCTGGGCTCCGTTAACCTCGACATCCCCTGGCGCTCCCTTTTCCTCGACAACCTCTGCCTCTCCGCCCCTTATGGCGTCATATGTGACTTTTTCTACGAAATCCCCCATGAGCTTCTCGAAGCTGAAGAAGTTGAAGGTTTTTTATCTAGGTTACAATTATTTTTCCAGAAATGTTCTTGAATTGGTGGGAAATCTCTCTGAGCTGGTGAATGAGGGGAATGATTTGGCTGCTGCGGGAGAGAGAAGTGTTTGGGTTAAAACTTGAACTTTGGACTCAAAAGGGAGTTAGCCTAAAAGAAGGACTGGGAGGGAAGGAGCCCGAAGCTCAGCTAAAGCCCAGAAGGCAGAAAATGCCTTTTCCCGACTAGGTGCAGATCATTTAAACCACTTGCTCACCTATCTAGAGGCCAAGTGGTGTAGACCAGTCAGCTAATTAGTCCAAAAGCACTTTACAGTGACAGTACAAGTAAAAAACTGATGAGTCATTGCCCTTCAAGCTGCATTTCGGCAAGATTAATGTTATAGGAGGCCAAGCCAAACTGTCTATAAAAGAAGAAAGAGATATTAGAGATAAGGACACTTAAACAAACAAATAAATACACAAACTCTGCTCAAGCCAGATTTGCCTTCAACGAAGCTGTAGTCAGCCCAAACCTTCATCCATTTCGGGATCAACCCTCACAAAAAACCTTTGTAAAAGCTCTGCTACCTTGTCTAAATCTTGTTGTAGTATCGATTTCCTTCTGTAAACTCATCCCCCTATCCCTCTTTTTAAGCTCTCAAACCCTTTATAAATTACAAAGATAGGAAGTTGCAAGATGACCAGCCTTACCCGACAAGGTGAAACCTTGCCCGACCCTCTTTGTTTTTGTCTTTTCATTCATAAGTCTAGTAATATGTTGTATACTTCCATTTGTATCCAAGTTATTTCTAGCAAGTTAATGATGAAAAGACTTCTCAGTTCTTGAATCCGATTAGAATCTGTATTCACAGTTTAAATCAGATATGAGTTCTAAACCCTCGGGCATGTAAGATTGATCATTCAAAAGTCATTGGTCTCAAGGCATAAAAAAAGAAGTTTATGTGGACTTAACCCATCCACGACAGTCTTTGATAACAAGAAGTCCGAAGTTACTTGGGGTACAAGTAATCGACCTATTTCTTAGTTGAGGTATTTGTCGTTTTCCCCCCTGAACTTGTAAGGAGATGCCAATTTCCCCCTTGAACTTTAATTTTAGCCAATTACCCCCATGAACTTTTGTAATTAGCCAATTTACCCCCTGATGTTAGATTTGAGAATTTTCCATCCAATTTTCCATCCAACTTGGTCACATGCATGGCACATGCCAAATTTTTAAGGGTAAAAAAGTAATTTTATCCCTAATGTAGACATTCTATCTTTATTCTTCTTCTCTTCCACTAGTTCACTCTGTACAATTTTGTCTAAATTAGCTATAGAAGTCTAATTAGCAACTGAAAAAAATATTGGCTCAGTGCCCAGTTTACCAAAATGAAATTAACGATTCTTACTTCAAGTGCTTTAATAAAGTTAACAGCATCCACAAAAAATATGCAACTGACTTAACAGCCTAAACAGCCGTGCACCTAGCATCCACAAAAAATATGCAACATATGCAACAGACTTAACAGCCTAAACAGCCGTGCACCTAACTTAACAGCCTAAACAGCCGTGCACCTAGCATCCACAAAAAATATGCAACAGACTTAACAGCCTTGCACCTAGCATCCACAAAAAATATGCAACAGACTTAACAACATCTACAAAAAATCTGCTGCATAATCCTATTAAAAGACCAACTTAATCTCAACACCAAAGGTTTTCATTAACAGGACGAAATGCCTTCCAACACATTATAGTTATACTCTCCATGGTCTTGGTTTTTTGGCAACACGTTGAGGTTGTGATGCCATTTCATTAGCCTTTCTTGTGACTTGATTCACACGACCGCCTCGGTATACCTATTTGAACTCAACACGAAAGCAACAAAAATGTTAGCAAACCCAAAACAACAAAAATTAATGTATAACAAATATTTTTGTTTTTTAATAAAAATGACAAATTCTTGTTATTACATGTAGTTTAGAAGTTCCTTGTGGCCTAGTTTGAGATGGAGCGGCCCCCGAGTGATGATGTGCACCAGTTTCCTACATCAAAACCATTTATACTCAATTATTTATGTTCACCTAGCGACTAGATAAGTGATATAACAAAACTCAAAATAAATACAATCCTTGTTGATCAAATTACCTCTTTTGTGGGCACAAAACCTTGTTGTGATTGTAGTAGCCTTTGTGGACATCTTCTTTTGTTGTGTCCTTCCTCTCCACAGGTTTGGCAATGCATTACAACATCATATTTCCTTAGCTTTGTTGGCCCCTTCTTTATCTCATCTGGTGCTTTTGTTCTTTTGCCTTTAGGTCTTCCAGGTTGCTTGTGGTAAAAAGGGGGTTTAATAGGCCTAAGTCCAGTTCTCTTCCACTGTTCTTTTCCAGGCATAGGAGCAATATACCCTTCATAACACCTATCATAAGCTGGCCTTTTGTAAAGTGAGTGAACAAACACTTGTGGACTAGCCTCCTTCCTAGCAATTGCGGATATAGCATGAGGACAAGGAATGCCACATAGCTGCCACTTCCTACAAGAACAAGTGTGCCTTTCCAAATCTACTACAAACATACTACCAAGCAAAGTATGCACTTGATATTGACCATTCCCTGAATAATTGGCAAAACAATTGAAACCATCCATTTGATTTTTTTCAACAATCTTTAAAATTCTAGGTCTAACCTGTTGGGTCCACTTAGCTTCTCTTAGCCTAGCCATTCTCAACATCAAATATTTTTGAATCCTTTGTAACATCGTAATAATCGGTTTATCTCTTGCATCTAAAATTGCAGAATTAAATGACTCACACATGTTATTCAATAACAAATCACATTTTACCGATGTTCTGAAATGAGATCTGCTCCAATGGCAAGGTGGCTTATCAGCTAGCCATTTCACTGCCTTATCAGATTGATTATTCATCACCTCAATTTCAGCTTCATAAGTAGGTACATTAGTTGCCCTTGCTGCTGCCCACAATCTCTGTTTTAAGGTAAGTCCGGTGTGACCTGCACTTCTAAAATTATTATGCAAATGTCTAACACAATGTCTGTGTTCTGCAGCAGGCATCAGACTCCGTATATCATCGCCTAGCCCTTTTTGTTTGTCAGTGATGAAGGTCCAAGCATTTCCATTCTCAATTCCCATATCCTCGAAAAAGATCTCCAAAAACCAAGTCCAAGTCTCCCTATTTTCTACCTCCACAACAGCAAATGCTATTGGAAACATGCCGTTATTGGCATCAACACCAACAGTACTTAGGATCTGACCAGGATGGGGTCCCTTAATATGACATCCATCAAAACCCACTATAGACCTACACCCTTCTTGAAAGCCTTTCTTCAATGCAGCAAAGCATATGTACAACCTTTTAAAAACGGGGTTTTCACCTTGGAAATCTGTTTTTACTGTGATAGTACTCCCAGGATTTCTCACTTTCAACTCTTCCAGGTAATCCCAAAGCTTGGCATATTGCTCATCTATACTACCTTCTGTCACTTTTTTTGCAATTCTCTTTGCTTTGTAAACTTGGTTTTTTTTGTTATGTCAATACCATAATGCTTTCTCACAAGTTCCATGAACCCAGTCACACTCATATCGGGTTTTGATCTAAGCTCCTCATCAAACCGATCAGCTAACCATGAAGAGGTGGCAAATTTAGAATGCTCATCCCTTACACAAATGTGTTTAGGATTAAAAGTTTTAATTCTAACTGTCGGTCCCTTCCCCACAAAAGAGGCATACAATTTCCATTGACAAGGTACTGCAGCTTTTCCTGCACACTTGATCAGCAATCCGTTGGAATCATTCACTGCCCAATCTAGCGGTCGACAAACAGACACACCATAAGCCTTTATTGCCTCCCTGCATTGTTTCATGTTTGGAAATTCCAACCCTAGATGAAGAGTGGGATTAATTTTATCTCTCTCTCCTATATTGAGGTAGCTTAGGTGTTTTGAGTCTTCTTCTAACCCTCATATTGGCTTCATGTTCTTCAGACTCAGACCTAACACTATCTAAATCTTCTGAATTGTATTCTTCAGTGGAGATCTCACCAAGTTCTTTATGTGTTTCTTCAATAAAATCAGCTGTTGCAATCTGATCAAACAAAATGTCATTTGCGTCTACATTTTTTGCAGCTTTATCATCATCTTCCTCGGATTGTTCATAGTCAGAATCCTTGAACTTAAGAGTAACCCCATCGTCATCTTCCTCTGTCTCTGAATCTGTAACCTCTTCATCTATTCCTTCTATAGTGTCTCCAACAACCTCCACACTCTTATTTTCTTCGCATTCATCATCCGCAGTAAACCCCTCAAACTGAACATCCACATCAACAAAGGAAGCTGCACACGGATCACTCCCAAGATTGTTTATGATTTTCCTTAAGTCAACCAAGTATAACAAATGCAGCCTAACTTGAGGAGATATGAGTGAAACCCACTAAAACACATCTGCATCGCATTCAATTCGTAAAAAACCCTTTATTTGGTGTCAATAGTAAAAACCTGCAGTCTCTTTATTATACCCAAGCACTGTAGCAGCCTCATACAGATCAAGCATGGACATATAATCTTTAGTATAATTGTCAACCCATTGTACAATACCACCCACATATTGACCAGCTTTAAAGTGACCACCATGGTGTATTTCAAGTGTGAATAAGTCATGATTACCTACAACAAATACATCACAATATAATCAGGATCACCAAACAACACTTACTAACCAAATATCCACCAATATACAACATTTACTAACCTAACTTGCTAATTATTTAAAGAAAGTCAATAAAAGCAACAACTAAACATATTATATGTGCAAAGTTGATAGTATACAGGAAGTGCCAACAATGCTACACCAAAAAGATTATACCAGCAAAGACCAGCAAAAAAATAAAATACTGTATAGCAAATCAAAAGACCATAATACAGTAAACAAATTCGAGATTATGCAGCTTAGAGAAGGTAAATTAAGAGACTCGGCAGCACAAGTTAGATCCACATCAGGGCCATGCTCGGGAACCTAGACTTCCAAATAAACTTGTCAGGACCAAAGGTGGATGGTTTGGGAACTCGCTCCAAATTCTTTCAAAAAAGCAAAAATGCCAACTCAAGGATGTTGCAGCAGAGTTCATAAATATCTTGAGTTCTTGACTAGTTGGGATTAAGAAAATCTGCAACTATCTTGGAATCCTATATGAACTAGTTATAAAGTCAGTCCGAGCATCAATTTTGGGTTCAGATACATATTAGCTGCAACACATATATTCTTTCCATTGCAAATTGCACAAATACATGCTCTTTCTCCAATATGTGGGATTTCAGTTTTAGGAGAAATCTTAGAGAGAATATGGTGGTGGAGATGACAAACTTATTGAGGCTGCACAAGGTGATGATATTATATTATTTCCATACAGAAAGGATGCAAGAAGATGGTGCTTAGAGACTTCTTTGAACACCTTAATTAAATGGGTTAAGCTTATAAATGGAAAGTATGGGAAAGAACCTGATAGCTTAGAAATAGTTGCAAAGTTAGCATGATCAACGAAAAATATTTTGTAAATGTACAACAAATAAATGTATTGCAATTTTCAAAAGCCCCCACTCACAACTCTGTGAATGTACCAATAAAGGAATATAGTAGAAGGAAATACAGGTTATAACAGTTTCATCAAAAGGAAAAAATATATCTCACTGATGAGCCACCACAGTTAAACTGACATTTCTCCATCACGATTTTCATGCATCACAGCAATTCATAACTTAGTAACAGAGGCTGAGCTAGAAGCCTAGAAAAGCCCCTGACATACCAAGGTGCTCACAGTTGAGGAAATGATTACGATTAGAAACTTAGAATAGGCACATAACCAGTTGATAGACAATCTGGTTCAACTTTAAGTGGACTTTCAAACCCTTGATATGTATTAATGCAGGGATTTTGATGTGGAAAGAAAGATAACTTGGTCAACTTTCAGTTGTTGATCAACTGGCATAGCCACCAGGCAATCGCCAAACATTAAACCAAATGCCAGTACAAGTTTGTTGCTCAGTTCTATCCGACAAGTCACATAAATATGGTACTTACACAAATGTCTTCTATCTTTTTCAATAATTACAACCCATCCCCTTCTTGAAAAATTTAAAAGGTTGAATGGCGTGTGGGTGTGGCTGGGCTGGGATTAGGGTGGGAGGGTGTGGGACGCATAACTGAATAAAACAATCAAGGGACCCCATATACACACACGACTGGAAAAATAACACACAAAGCAAACCTTTCACATATTAAACAAACTGAAAAAGAAAAAGTGAAGACTTACTGTATCTTGGAGGATGCCCACCATCCCTGACCACGATACTCATCGTTCTCAACTTCAAAACTCAAAATACCTTCAATATTTTCTCAGATCCAGAGCCAGGCGAAGAAAAAGTGAAGACTTACTGTAGCAATTTGTTGATTTCACCGTCTATTCTCCATATCTTTTCTCAGACTGTAACCCTAGAATGCCCAATTCTTTGTGGCTCGCCTTCCCCTGCTTCTCCATATACCCAAAAACGATTAGGTTTGGTTGTGGTGTATGATTACCATTTTGTCCTCACACCATTAACATGTGCAGAGCACGTGATCGAATTGGATGGTGAATTGGATGGTAAATCCTAAAATATAACGGCAGGGGGTAAATTGGTGATTTGCACAAGTTTATGGGGGTAATTGGCTAAAATTAAAGTTCAGGGGGGAAATTGACTATTTCTTACAAGTTCAGGGGGTAAATCAGCGAATACCCCTTCTTAGTTTTATGTCTATTATATTATGATTATCATAGAACGTTTGAGTATAGAAGTAATTCTGATAGGAAGCCTCAAGGCCTACATCTAAGGCCTTATAAAGACACCTATTTGGATTCATTCTGCTCTTTGGGCTCGGGTAATTATAAGTATAATAGTCATAATACTTCTGCAATCAATGAAACAAACATTATATGTTCGAGTACTGGGTTAGGTCGTGATTGTGAGCCTCAAGGCCTACACCTAAGGCCCCACAAAAGCACATTTTATAACTAAAACAGCCTCTCGGGTATATATACAACTAAAACTCAACATCTGCCATGCTAAAGATGGCAGTGGCATGCCTGAACACCTAAAAGTTAATCTTGATTGTGAGCCTCAAGGCCTACACCTAAGGCCCCACAAAGGCACCTTTCAAAGTTAACTCTGTCATTCTCTTTCAGCCTTGTCTGACAAGCTCGCCAATAGAGCAGAAGCCCGACAGAAAGCATCAACCGCCGCCAACCTCTCGGGGAGCTGTGTGCTCGTCCGTTAGGAAACATCCCCAACGGGAATTCTAACCACGAACAAGAAGGACGGGTGTTGGGTCGGAATTTGGCATGGGCATTCGAGATAGGGTTTGGGGATATGAGCTGTCTACATCGAAGAAGCAAAACCCAAATACCAAACCCCACAAAAATAAAAACCCAATTTTTTTTTTCTGCAGAAAAAATCAATTTCAAGCAAAAACGCTTCAATCTTTACTCTACATAGTTGGGTTTTTCTCAAAGTTTTCAAAAACCCACCTCAGGAACTCCAAGAACTGACATGATTTGATCCAAAAATTAAAAAGAGCAAATGAGTTTTCTCTTAAACCCTGTTTCCAATTTCTCCCTCTATCTGCTTTTGTTATTCTTTCTCATCGGTTTTGAGCTCATCCCAGTTGCTGAATCTACCATTGACATCACCTCCTTGGAAGAAGTGTGCGGGAGGGTGAGTGTAGAGAAGGGGAATGGGTGGGTATGGAGGGAGGATAGGTGCATGGAAAAGAAAGGAGGAAGAAGAAAGGAGGGGGTCGGGAGGGGTGAAGGTGAACCCCTCATCTGAAGAGAAGAAAGGAGGAAGAAGAAGAAAAAGAAGAAGAAAAAAATCCACGTGGACCATTTAATGGCACGTGGTGCCCAGTAATTGTCCACATGAGCGTCACGTCATCACTCAACGGGAGACTTAACAGTTTGACTAACGGATATATGAGACTGTCCCAAAATTTACATTTTTAGGCAGTGTAAGTTAGGATTGGGGTATGTCTATATAGGGGTCGAAGTTTTGCTAAATTACTGCACTAACCAAATTACCTACCGTCCATATCAAAATTATGTCACAAAACTATTAGGTAATGGTACGGTATTTGTACCATACCATAAATTTTCGGTATGATAATAGTATTCAAAATCATTAGGCCATCTTCAATCGAAGGGGCTAAAAAAAAAAAAAATCAAATTTTGGCCAAAAGAGTGGCCCAAAACAAAGTGGTAATTACCATTATCATATCATACAAACCGAACTATTTGGCATGTCAAAATTCGGTATACCAAAAGTTTGGCACAGTAATGGAATAGATTTTGCTAGACCAAAAGTTTGATATGGTACTTGATACAGGGATTGGCATACAATAATCGTACCAATACCACCCCTATACCTATAGATATGAGATATCTATCCTTGTCGAATTGGAGAAAAAGAGACCAGGAAATTCCTGGAAGAATATTTATACAGAGAGATATATAGAAAATAGAAAGCGATTCAGATGTTTGTTTTAGAGAAACAAATTAATATTTTAAGGTTGGGATTGGGATGTTTAGAGAGCGGCCGCCTCTTCTTATTATAAATAAGTATCTGTGCGGCAGTGCTTGCTCTTTCGAAGCATGAAAACTGAGAGGGAGAAAGAGATCGATTGAGAGAGGGAGGGAGGTGTTACATCCCACATCACCTAGGGGAGTGTATCATGTAAGCCTTATATGTATATCCCCATCTCTACCTAGCATGAGGCCTTTTGGGAATTCACTGGCTTCGGGTTCTATTGGAACTCCGAAGTTAAGCGAGTTCGCACGAGAGCAATCCCATGATGGGTGACCCACTGGGAAGTTTTTGTGTGAGTTCCCAGAAACAAAATCGTGAGGGCGTGGTCGGGGCCCAAAGCGGACAATACGGCAGAGTCGAGCTAGGGATGTGGTGGGGGCCCGAGCCGGGATGTGACAGGAGGATTGTGGAGTCACTCTGGAGCTTGCTATGTATGGGATTTTATCAAGGTGGTGAACTCTTGTAATAGAGAGTTGGAGTAATACTTTAGAGTCTAGGTAGGGGAAATACGATAGACTTTTACAGAGATTGATTTTATTAAATTTTGTTGTCGAATTTTATATTATTATTTATCTCGTTGATTACTCTTGTTGAGTGTTACTTGGATATGTGTTCATTACTGTTTCATTGGATGTCTGTTTGTTAGTGACTATGGAATTACTCATGGTTGAGAATATATTGTGGAATATGTGAATGATAAAATGAAAGTATTTGTGAATCATTCATGATGTGTCATGTGGTTGGAGATTCGGAGTTGCAAAAGGAATTGTGGAAAATAGGGTAATGGAAATGATCCTTTGTGTAGTTGAGCCAAACTCTTAGTAGGTACCAAGTTTCAGGCAAGCCCATAGTGCACAATTTCTTTTAGGGTAATTCGGTATTGGCGATGAAGGGTTTTGGCTAGACAACTAACAAAAGAGGAAATTAAGTTACATGGGGTTATTTTGTATAATAGAACATTCGAATCACCACTGCAGAGGTAATATGTATGGTATGGGACGTGCAGGTCCGAGCGTTTTATTATTTAGATTAACAGGTTGAGTAGA